GGGTTTAGGGTTTAGGGCTCAGCATCGGTTCAATTGTTTTTCAATAATTGGGGCCCCTGAATGGGTCTTCAACAGGACTTCAGGACACCTTTACAGACCCTGAACCCTACAAGTCCTAAGCCAAAAAAACCATGAACCCTAAGTCCTAGACCCCGCTGACCATAACAATGCTGGGGGGCTCGGGTTTTTTTAATCTACACCCTAAGTCTTCGGATTTTTTTTGACTCGAACGCGGTGAGCGTCAGCGTTCTGCCGCTGCGGGGGTTACTGGATAATAAGGCGTTCCGTTTTCGGGTTCAGGGCTTAGGGCTTTGGGTTTATATAACAGTCCCTTCCCAGGCTCCACAATAGCTTTTGGGGTTGAGTCTTTGGGCTTCGGGGCTCGAGGTTTAAGGTTCGAGCTTCAGGGGTCAGGGTTTAGGGTTGAGGTTCGAGGTTCAGGGCCCCGTCTTTGAGTAGAGCTGCAGGGGAATACGCACTCGCTTCAGGGCTTCACGTCTAGGCACAGACAGAGCACCCACTACGTAATTACTCTGTACACATGCGAATACGTGCATATAGACTGTAATATATATATATATATATATACATATATATACATAGCTAGAGAGACAGAGAGCGAGAGGGAGAGAGAGAGAGGGAGAGAGAGAGAGATTGGAGTTTTAACCTCCCGTTACGAGCCCCCAGACGAATCGACAATCATGCCAAACACTGAAGGGCTTTCATGTTAGCTTAGGGGCTGAGTACCCTAGCCCAAAAAAGGTTAACCTTCTGAATTATAGTAGGATTATATAAGCCTCAAAAGGTGAAAGGTTACCTACTCAGCCCCTAAGTTAGGGTACGCTAGGCTCTGAACACTACAAGCCCTGCACCCAAGAACGGTGAGGGTTTCGCGAATTTGTGTTGAAGACTTCAGTTGCTGGGTTCATTGTCGAGGGCTGTAAGGTCTTAGGGCCACGGTTTACGTTCTAGGGTTGAGGGTTGAGGGTTTAGGGTTTCGGGTTTAGGGCTTAGGCTTTGGGTGTTTTGTACTTGTTTTGGGCTTTTGGTGTGTAGCCCTTCGGGCTTAGAGTGAAGTCATGCCGAAACCCGAGCCTAGAACCGAAACCTTGAAAAACCCTAAACCCTAAACCTCCTAAAAGAAGTGTCTCATCCCTAAACCCTCGAAGGCCTTCCCCATCGTTGGCCGTCTGGCCAGCGAAGCGCTTCACTGCCGTGTTCCTGGGAGATTGGCGCTTAGGACTTTACGGCTTTTGGGCTTTTGGGCTTTCGGGCTTTGGGGCTTTAGGGCTCAGGGCTTTAGGGCTTTGGGGCTCTAGGGGCTTAGGGCTTTAGGGCTTTAGGGCTTTAGGGTTTTAAGGCTTTAGAGCTTTAGGGCTTTAGGGGCTTAGGGGCTATTTAGGGTTTAGGGTTGGAGCTTGGCAACGGAGACACTTCTCAGTCCGAGCTCGTGTCGCTTCGGGTTGAGATTTAAGATTTAGGAGAACGGGGAGGAGGAGGGGAGTGGAGTTTAATCACTACAGGCTCCTGCAGACAAACCTATGGATCGGTGCCTTGTAAAACCGTAGAACCCTATCTTCATCCCTACTTACTGACGGGTTGGAGGCTTCGGATTAAAAGTTTTGGGGTTCTGGGCTCATGAGTGGAAGGCTGCGAACTCAAAGGACCAGCAGAGGATGGAAAGAAGGAGATCAATCGTTTAGGGCTTAGGGCCTTGGGCAAAAGTGTATGGACAGTACTGATCCGGTTCTCCGACACCTCGCTTTCTGATAACGGGAATGTAAGCTTTTTATGATGCGTTCATGTTTGTAACCATAACCCTGCTTCCATCGCCACTACCCCTGCCCTGCTCCTCAACACCGGAAGCCGCTGTAAAGTTTTACTAAAGTGCCCATACCTCAAAGACCTAAAAGTCTACCATTTCTTGTAGCCTTAACCCTAAACCCTGCCCATAGGCCCCATAGTAGTTCCTTCTTGGGATTACCTAATAGAATTCTAAATATGAACCCCAAAAAGGAACTACTATGGGGTCTATGGGTAGACCCTTAGCACTGGAAGGGCTGAACCCAAAGTCCCGAACCGAAAAACCCCCAGTTCCCCCCCTCCCGGGAGGCTCCCAGACTCTCAAAACCCTGCAACTGACTTCCCACCCTAGGGTTTAGGGTTTAGGGTTTAGGGGTCCGAGGTATTCCTGGCGTTGATTTCTGACATGACTAACTCTCATCAGTATCTGTATCATTGAACATATTCGTGACTGACTGATGGTACGAGTACAGATGTACTATTCAAGTCGTCTGTCTTCCGGAGTAGTGACGCCAGTGCCAAAGACTTGCAGCTGCGGGCCCCCCAGACGCTGAAATACAACCCCAAAGCTATGGAGCCGATAGACCCAAAACTAAACCCGAAGCCCAACAAATCGATGTAAACCCTAAACCGCTAGTCGGTTTGTCTCAGCACACCAACAGCTGAAAGAGTTCAGGCAAGTGGCCACCGCACCTCTGCGCAGTGCTTGGGTCTCCGGCTTTCGGCTTTCAGGTCTGGGGCTTTCGGGTTTAGGGTTTAGGGTTAGGGGCCTTAATACCAGTAGTTAGAATAGGGTTTTCGGGGGCTCCTTAGTATGATTAGAGTCTAATATACCCTCAAGCCTTTTCAGGCCCCTTACATTACGGTTTATTCAGGGGTGTAGGGCAAGACCAATGGAGTTTGCGCTGCTCATGGCTTGAGGAGTTTAGGGTTTAGGGTTTAGGGGTTTAGGGTTTAGGGGTTTAGGGTTTAGGGTTCAGGGTTTCGAAAACTTTCGGTTGTCGGATTCCTTGTCTTGGGGTTCAAGACTTCATTTCCAAAGTTCGTCGGGGAGCTATGTAGAATTCGCACTAAATCCTCCAGCTTGGGTTCGGGGCTTAGGGTTCATTGGTGAAGTATAGCCGGCCTCTAGCCTTCTAGGCTAGTCTTGCTTTGGTCTTTGGATCCTTGGCCCTATACCTTCTGTAGCCACCCTATGTGGGTGCAAGGTCTTCTGACCCTAAACCCCTAACTAAACCCTAACCCTAAACCCT